CTGATTTACAAGCATGATGTTATCAGGTTTGATGTCCGCATACATTATACCTATGCTCTTCAGAGCGGTAAGAGCTACAAACATCTGCTTTAAAATGACCCGAATCTCATAGAGAGCGAGTGGATGGCGGTACCTGTGACTAAAAAAAAAATCAAACTAATGTCTAGCATTTCCATTGAAATAAAGGCGCACTATTTGTACTCGAAGATTTCATAGTACTTTACCAAATTGCACCGATCCTTGTCCAGAGCACTCATCTTTTTTTTTTTTTTTACAACCGCGGCCTCTTTCCAAGCCATCCTTTTGCATTCCCTTTTAGCAACCTTGACTGCAGGGGCGATTTTAGCCCATTTTTGGGGGTGCTTCAGCAAAATGAATCAAAGCACCCCCAAAGATTTCTTGCTGTTTTTGACAATATTTGCTGTTTGTGTGACACACTACTAAAATATAAAAAGCATACATAGGTTGAGACGTAACATTTTAACAATAACAGTACAGATACCCCCCCCCCCCCCCTCTCTCAAAATGGTTTGTTCCAGCTCTCCCCTGCTCTGGCTCTAGCGCCGTTGCTGCCAGAGCGATGGTGGCTGAGACGCAGCGGAGCGGAGGTGTAAGTGCCTGGCTTAAAACAGGACATGTTAGCTGCATTTAACCCTAAGTTACTCTTTATATAGTTAGGTAGGAGTCACACCATGTTTCTTTTTGGCTGAAAAACATTACACCCAGGTAACCTGCAGTGTTGAAAACGTGTTTTCCAATGATGTTTGCTACCCTACAATCCGTACTCTGTAGTAAATTCAGCGACATTTGACCGTCCTGTTGCTCCCATTGAAATGTATACAGCCTATTTAAAATCTAAAACTTAAAATTGTCGTAGCCTACTGTTGTTACCACTGTCCTGTTTGAAATGGAGAGGAGAGAATCTGGTTCTTTTGTCATTTGTGCCGACATTAAACCCAGGAGCCACATTCAGGTAAAAGTGTAATAACAAATGATCCGTCAATAAAGGATAATGTTGGATCAGTGTTTCAATATTTATATCTTTTATTAGATTTACATGTGGTTTGGTTATTTACCTTGTGGTGAAAACACACTGAGAGAGGACTTTTTTATTAGTGATCTTAATAATATTTTTTTTTCATATTAATGTAATTTTTCATCTAATTGAATACAATCTATTTGTGTATGATTGTCAGTCCAAAGAGGGAGAGAGGAAAGAGGGGAACGTGAAGAGAAAGTACAAGTTCAGGAAGAACCCGGTAAGGAAACACAGGGAACAGTGACAGGCACGACAGAAACCGTTTAACCGCTTGAGAGAGTTGACCACCAAAAGTGATTTGCCAACTTCAAGGTGAGGCGACATAGGTTAAAATAAAAGAAAAAAATCTGCAGAGCCATAGTAGTATTGTCAATAAAGATCTTTTCATACATTGTACCATAGGCAAAGTTGCCTCAATTTTTATAATTTTTTAATCAATATTTTGTACATTTGTGCATTCAAGGACTCTATTTTTGGAGTGTATTTTCATATATCTGTATTGTATTATAATACACATTAAAAGTTAATCTCTGTCCAAAAAATGCACTTAGTTTACTTTTTACTCACTATGAGCATCATTCATTATTCTTCATTCTTCTTCTTCTTCTTTCTTGATGAATTTAAGAATCTTATGAATTATTATGGAAAGTTTGCAGACTTGCACAGAGATGGTAAAATTATGATGACTGATAACGGAGATGAAGACAACAGATGATGAGGACAGGGAGGAACAGGGGTTTAAATACACCAAGGAGACAGTCAGAGGGAACTTGGAACAACTGGAGACATTTAGGGATGCAGGGACTGACAGAGACAGGGAAGAAGACTCATCATGATGAGTAAAGTTTATCTTGCCTGGCTGGGCAGCTCTCTGAGTGCTCAGCACCCCCAAAGCTCTGATCCTAGAATCGCCCCTGCTTGACTGCTACCGTTTCAAATGTGTCCAATTTTACGCATTGCACCACTCGCCCAAAACTTCCTCCTCCTCCGAGCCTTTTTACTATGTATTTACATGTTTTACTAATGCTAAACGTTTTAGCAATAAACGTGGTAAAAAAATAAACAAAGAACAAACAAACAAACATTAAAATCCCGATACAACAGCGACATGTCCTCAGCTGCCTGTGATCTTTTTTCTTTTTAAAGTTTTACATCTGCAGGACTTGAAGTTATCTGTCACGGCTACACTGGCAGACCGTGGGAATGTGGGGAAAATAGAACCCAAAACGCAGGACTCTGTGCGATCAGTGCAGTGCATTTATTTACAGTGATGTAAATATTACACAATGAATCCCCGTGTGCGCCCGGTGTTCCCACCGTGCCGTGTCCGTGCTCTGTTTGTCCGTGCCTGCTGCCTTCTCATTTCCGTACTCCTACCGGGAAATAACAGAGGCAGCCGTTAGTACAAATAACTTCACTGTGGCAAGCTCCCACTCACAAACCGACTAGCTGGAGAACTGCAGGAAGTCTCACGCAACAATCCAGCGTCGAGGAGCTCTCAGCCACACTGCTATGTCCTTTGATGTTAAAGAGTGTCTATAAGTTCATGTTAAGCCAAAGGGTAAAACATGTTTGAAACGCTACGAGTTGTAAGATGGAACAGATTTCACAGTCGTCTGTGGCAACTAACAGTAATGTGGAGATTGGTGAGAATGCTGTCGTCCAAAGTAATACGTGTAAATACTCCCACCGCTGCTTCCTGGAGGGGTTTTGAGATTAAGGAATTGTACCACACTTGGTGTTTTCTGTAATTTAATTTGATTACTCTTAAATCTTTGTTTTACATTTGATTTGTTGATATCTAGTGTGGATGCGATTAAGCATTGTTCTTCTACTTTTAATCTTCCGTAAGTTCAATACTGTTCATGTTCAACTTAGAAAAACCATTCAACCACCATTAGATTCCTCTTCTTTTGGACACGCGTGCTTGTATTTTTTTCCCTCATTTTTAACTTTTAGGGCAGCACGATGGTTAGCACTGTTGCTGCACAGCAAGAAGGTCCTGAGTTCAATTCCACCATCAGGCCTGTATGGAGTTCGCATGATGTTCTCCCTGTTTGCGTGGGTTCCTTCCGGGTACTCCAGCTTCCTCCCATGACTGTCTATTTGTAAAAATAGACAGCCAATGGTGAAAAGAAAGCACACTAATCAAAATATATGACATGTTAAACCAAGTACACCCCTCAATGATTTGATAACTGGTAGAAACACAATCAGCAATTTTCTTTTTGACTTCATCAGTCTCTTATATCATTGTGGAGGGATTGGGGCCCACTCTTCTTTTTGACATTTCTTCACTTTTCTGAGGTTTGCTGACACTTGTTCTTAAGGTCAGCTGTCTTAAATTTGCAGCACAGCATATCAGTCAGGTTCAGGTCTGGACTTTGATTGGTCATTGCGGCACATTGATTTTCTTTTTCTCCCATGCTGCTGTATATTTTCTGCTGTGCTTGGGATCACTGACATGTTGCATGACCTGATTTAGGCCAAGTTTTAGCTGCTGGACAGATGGCCTCACATTTGATTCTAGAAAACTCCGAAATGCAGAGCAGTTCGTGTTTGAATTGATGGCTGCAGGTTGTCCAGGTCCTGTGGCTGCAAAACAAAACAAACCTTCACCCTACTGTGCTTGACAGCTGATATGAGGTGTTTCTGCTTATATGAGGTGTGTGACTTTCTCCAAATGTGGTGCCCTGTATTATGGCCATACAGCTCCACTTTGATCTCATTTGTCCAAAGGACATTGTTTCAGACGTCTCAAGGTTTGTCCAAATGCAACTTTTCAAACCTAACCCTTGCTGTCATGTCTTTTTAGAGAGAAGAAGCTTTCTCCTGGCAACACTTCCAAGCAAGCAGTCTTTTAAAAAAAAAATTGTTCTGTTATGAACTTTAATCATAACATCCTAAAAGAGTCTGACATGTAACACTTGTTTATTTTAGCAGTTTTTCTGAGCATTGCATGGTCTGATCTTGGGGTGAGTTTACTCACAGGTCCTCTCCTGGGAAACCTCAGAGCTGTCTTTAATGTTATCCACCTGTGCATAATCGTTCTAACTGTAGAATGATGAATTTCAAATTGTTTTGAAATAGTCCTTTAACAACTGCTTCTCTACGATCTGATGAATTTTACTCCCAAGCATTGTGTTAACATAAGACACAGATCAGCAAAATGCCAAAATTTCTACTTTTATTGAGGCGCTCACACTTGCTGATGATCAGTTACACGAGTGCATTTGATTAGCAGAAACTGGCTGCTTTGTACTGTCTTAATTCCTATGAAAGCAGTGAGTATGGACTTAGTATTTTTCACACACACTGCTTCTACATGTTGGCTGAATTTTTCTTATATAAATAAAGGCACAATGTAATACGTCGTGTTTTTAAGGGAACTGAGGTTGTATTTGTCTATTTTTAGACTTGCAAAGCGGCAGATTAATTTTATTAAGTCCTGATAAAAAAAAAAATACCGTAGAATCAAAGTGACTTCATTTTCATATTACTATGTCAGGATCTAGCTTGTTCCTGTTTTTCTTTTTATTTTACATCATTGGATGCATGTGGCGATATTAGTTTAGTTTAGTTTTTGTTTTTTTGTAAAAGAATAGTACTTAATATTTAAAAAAATCTCGCATCTATGCTCATAAAAAATGTATGTCTACTAGTAGACACTAGTGGGCGTGCTAGTACTTGAAATAGAGGCTCGAATAACGCTACATAATCTTAAATTAACTCCGGCAATAGGATTAAACACCTTTAACTACACCGGTGTTCTACTCTTTTCTTGTTGGCAGAAAAAAACAGAAAGAGAGACTCTCCCGTCTGGGTTGTAACGACCATTTTATATTGTTGTTATTATTATTTTTTAAGGCACACTTTTCAAGAGTAAAGAACCTGTCGTAAAGTGTCGTAAAAGTAGATGGCGGGGGTTCAGCGCCCCCATGCGGCATTACGGGCAATGACTGCATTGTAGAAGCGGCCAGCCAAGAGACGACCTGCTGGGTAAACAACAGTGGATGCCTCGGAAGGCAGGAATGGGAACTTCGTCGAGGGCAAACAGTGAGGTTTTTTTATCTTGTCACATAGAGAAATAACACGGAGGTCGTATTGTCTCGTCCGAGTCGTCTGGGTTTCCATTTCGAGCCAAAATGGCTGATAATAATCGAGTATTTACTGAGTGAAGTGGAGCTAGCATTAGCTTAGCTCGTAGCCATCCGGGGCCCACTGCCTTCGATTTTGCTTCTCGGCACGGCTCGGGACTGTGTTGCCAGTTTCACAATCCCGGCCGCTACAGTCCTCCGGGTCGCGATTTCTGCGTGCTAGGCCTGCCTAGTTGCAGTTCGGGTAACACGTAGAAAACTACCTGTTTTCACTACTTGTCACTATTTCCTGCAGGATTCAACCCCGCATGTTGCAAAAAGGACGGTGACACATTTTGAAAAAAGGATTTGGACACAGGTACGTGTTGTCTTTGTTGTCTTCTGTCTGGGATATTTATCAGGCAACGGCTTGCTGTCCACTCTGGTTTCTCTCGATTCGTTATCGTAATATTGGTAGCTGATATTGTGGTGCGAGTGCTTTCCTAATAAAGCGACATTATCCAGCCTCAGTCACTTCGGCACCGTTTATGGGACATACAGAGAGAGAGAGACAGACAGACAGGCAAGCAGGCAGGCAGACAGCAGCTGGGCTTATTGTAATTGTTAAGCGTTGTAGAAAGTATGCTTAGCCCCCAGCTTCAGGCTCGATACTGCCAGCCTAAATAAATCTATGTATCTGTGTTTTTGCTTGCCTAATCAGTTGTTAGTGGTCAGAAAGCACTGTGGGTATCGTTAGAGCTCAGCAGTACTGAATCAGTCGTACATCTTGAATTGGTTTGCTGTTGCCATTTCTGATTGCACCCACCCCCATGTATTTTCTAGTATAGATAGGCACCAGTTAACGTGGTAGAACTACCCCTTTTCTTCGTGATCTTATCGCCTGCATTAGAAATCAGCAGTATTATGGTGCAGCTTTGAGCCTTTGGGATTTTTTTCCCCTTCAGGGCTGTCCTCTGAGGCCCCTGAATTCATGCTTGTCATTGCGCAGCTTTTACAGTGAGATCTGAAGCACTCTCACTTATGTGTTAGATATATATATATATATATATATAAATAAAAGCATATAAGACCATTGTTGCATGTGCTTTTCACAGTTATGCTAAATACTTAAGCAAATCACTCTCTGCTCGCATAAAACCCAGCATCCCCTTTGACAGAAGTTGCATCTTCAGGTCAAGTGACAGCCAGGGTGCTGTTGTGCAATATGCTGCTAATGGACGTCACTTGTGCATTTGGCTTTTCTCTGTCTCAGGAAATGCTCTATAACCTACAGGAGTTGCACAAATGTACATACCAAAGCAGTGCAGTGCATTTTACTCAGACAGTTCCAGGAGCATGTTGAACTGTGTAGTGTTTTTTTTTTTTTTTTAAATCCCTATTTTGTATCTTAAAAAGAAATGCTTATTTTTGCTATCAACTGACTTTGTGTCTGTCCTAAATGCATGCAGTGTTCTTCATGTTTGGTATTTTAGCTTTTAGCTCCATTTTTTCTAAAAGCAGATTGAAGCAGGAAATTGAAATCCAATTCATATTGTTGTGAATTGTGTGTTCCCAGCACACAATGTGGACAGGGACTAGCAAAGCACTGATTTCATATTTTTGTGTTGTGTTACATCACTTGTACTTCCAGATGGCTGCATTGACAGAGTTGGTACAATATGTTCCCAAATTATATTCTGAAATAGTAGCATCATGAATTTGTTTTCTGATTGCATCGGGTCAACAAGTACGACCAGCTTGTTGCTACATGCATACAGTGCAGACTATTTGACTTTGGGTTTACTGATGGTATAAAGCGCCCTAAATCAGAAAAAAGTTAGCCAGAAAAATACTGATCTGCTTTTTAAGAGATGATCAAATAGTTTGTTCGTGCTTGAAAATACCTTATACAGAACTAGACTGATTGTGTTAATGCCAATATTTGGGAAGTTTAAATTTCTCTATCAATATATTTGCAACTGTTGAGGTACATATAGTGTATTATAGCTTTACTGAAAAATGAACATGATAGGATTGCCGATTATTAACCCTTCAGTACCTAACCTATTGCAAAGTCACTGCTTGGCTCCATTCTGGTGCTACTCTACTGCATTTGCTGCAGTAATCTTTGAGCCTTAGCTGTTCTGATGGAACAACTATGTGATGTTGCTATTACCCCCAAACATATTTCTCTGCATTATAATCAGTAAAACGAAAGATTCTGATGCCAAAACATGAATGCTCATAAGGTATATTAAATAAGCCAGTATCCACTTATACATGGATATATAGGTCAGGCTAGGATCCCATGTTCTACAGTATGTAAACAGAATGTTTTCTGCCCTTTTTAATAGCAATTTTAAAGCCTTTTCTATTACAGATTTCTAATGTGTACCTTTGCAGTCCATATGTTTCCAAACACAAATCCAGGATTGCCAATAATGCCAAGCTATGCAATATATTTATTATGTAATATATTGCAAGAAAGTATTCTGCTTTACATCTACTGAATTCTGGATTTGATTTGATATTTATGATTGAATTAAAAGCAGTTTCCAGTTTCACTGATCACTAAATGGCATCGTGATTTTCTTGACAGTTTGGAAACAGAGCCCTATCGGTTTTTATACTCCATGTTGGTGCAAAGAGCACTGTTGACTGCTGTGTGCTTTTAGAATGTACACGTGGAGTCACGGAAATTGCTTTTTTTTGTTGTATGTGCAAAAATGGTTTAAATTTCACAAATGACTGGGTTTGTCGTTGTTCTGGGAGACTTCAAAACCACTGTGAAAAAATTTCCCGCGGCACCAGAGTGAAAAAGGCTCCTTCTCTTCACAGATACACGTTGGTGCACCCAAATATAACTCATATAGTCTCAGAGTCATGAAATAAACGCGAGAATTTGTCTCCCTTTCAGATTTTTTTTTTTTTTTGTCATGCTTTTCTTGGTATCCACAACAATGCAAACATATCAGGGCTGTTGACTCATCATTACTTTGAGTCAGCCTATGGGTATTTATTTACTGTCTTTAATCAGCAGCTTGGGGTCATTCTGTGTTAATTTGTATGAGAAAACAAAATGACCTGTTCAGTGAATAGATTGTCTTGTATTTAGACGGTGAGGTATTGTTTTAGATGAATTACTGTTTCTTCATGTTGTTGATTGGCCAGTGAAATGTCAAAAATGTTTACCTTGAACAATTCAGTGCAGAATGAAAATAGAAGTATAATTGTCTTACAGTCTATTTAAAAAATGCTGCATTTGGTTAAGGATATTAAGAATGAAGACTTGTTCGTGCATTCATGCACTTCTCGGAGTCAGGAAGTCTAGCTCCGGCCTAGCTGTGTTCACCTGCTCTTGAGTTGGAATAAGGAAACACAGTTTAGTCCTGAAAGACGACATGATAAATCATTGCTAGGAGTGATTAAATAACTTGTTGACAGCTGTCTGCAGGTTTTATCCAGCTTATTATTAAAGTATTCAAATAAAAATATTCTCAGACTTTGTTTAGTTTTGTTTTTTAGTTTCAACATGAATGAGTGTTACTTGAATTAAGAAATGATTATTTTTCTCCTTTTAAACACCATCAGTACAGAACAATCATCTACTATTTCTCTTTTATGCATCTTAGATTAAATGTATGTTTCTTACCTGTTTTTGCATCTAGTGTTTTTTGTTTGTCTGTTTGTTTGTTGTCGTTTTGTTTTTGTTGTAGGATAGGCTGCAGAGGCCATAACAGAGTCCATCAGTAGTTGATGCTTTTGGTTTTCCCTCTCCGTGTATTTTCTTCTGGATGTGTAAACAAACATTTACATTTACTTCAGTTTAAATGATGTCTGTAAGGCAGATTGTAGTCATGTTTGAAGAACACTGAAAAGCACATGATTGAATTGTCTTATTTAGTTAAGTTGGTCAATTGAAGCTGCCTGACTACTGAGGACTTTAAGTGTGTTTACTGTGTAACATAGACTATTAATACCTCATCCATCAGACCTACATTGAGCTGACAGTACTCATTCACATTTTGCTTATTTTATTTTCTGTTTCTTTGTTGACTGACCTGTGTTATTTAACTCTTACATTTTCCCCCTTTTCTAGGTTTGGTGACATGCAGTGGTGAGAAGCTTTGGAATTAATGCAAGTTCACTTGGTTTTTGCTCCTTGAGGTCAGACCTGCCACCATGAAGAGTGAGGTGCCGTCTGAGGCCGCCAACAGACAGGAGCATATGAAGGAGCAACTGGTGAATCCCGAACCCATGGAGGCATCCAAGAGCTTCCCTAACAACATGGAGGTGATTGGAAAAGCTGGCAGCGATTTTGAAACTCTTTGTGAGTCGAGGCATCGGCCCCTGAGAGACACAGGGACACATAGAGACTCAGAACGGAGCTTTCCCGGACGTAGAAAACGAAAAGGCCAACAGGCAGGCCCATCAGACTGCTCGCTCAAGGATGGCCACATCAGTGAGAGTTCACTGGCACCTCAGCGTCCCAGAGTAGAACTTTTACAGCAACCCAGCGAGGATGAGCATAATCACGAGTCCTCTTTTAGTGACTGTGCTTCGTCCCCTTCATCCAGCCTGCGATTCGGGGACTCAGACACTCTTAGCTCGGAGGACGAGGGGGAAGCAGGAGCAACAGGAGGCCAACATAAGGCCCCTGCCCTGACAGGAGGCGGAGCCACTGGAGTCGGCTTGCGCCCTGCTATGGGCCGAACTCGGGGCAGCCGCACTCATAACTGGGTGCGGTCTGATGCTGAGCCCGTGCTGCTGAAGCGGGCGTGCCTGAGCAGCCGGCGGCCTCTACATAGGAAACGCTTTGTGAAAACGGCTCCTGGAGGAGGTCAGCGGACTCAGAAGCAAAAGGAGAGACTACTACAACAGAGAAAGAATCGTGAAATGTTTGCACGCAAGAAGTATGCTCTACACCACAGCACCAGTAGTTCCAGTGAGGAGCTCAGCGGCGACTTGTCCTCTGAATCTTCTACTGAAGCAGAGGATGAGATGTATGTAGATGTCAGCAGCACTAGCAGCCAGACCAACAGTGCTGCTGTGGCCTCAGGTAATCACTAACCCTTACTTTGTTATACATTTATCTCTGTGTTACATTACTTTGTAGGATTAGTTTTTAGTGCTTAATGAATTGACAAGTAAGGGAATAATTTATTTTCTCAGTAACCAGTCTGTAAAAGAAAGAGTAGATTGTTTGGACATGACATGGGGTAAGATGGGTTTTATATGTACCAGCAGGCAAAATTATACACCACAGCCTGGGCATTTATTTTTCCATTATGTAATGGGTTGTTTTCAGCTCTTTGAAGAAAAAATCACCACACTTGTAACATTATGATGGAAATTATTTCTCCTAAACATCACGGTCACCATGATCTCTAATGCTGCACAACCATCCAGCATGAATTAACATATTTTAATTGAAGTACGTTGATGCAATGTTAAATTAACATGCACTGAAAAGCGGAACAGAAAAAACAGAAATGGCTCGTGAGGTCAACATGTGTCGTACAGCTTTCACTGACTGCTTTTATTCACAATAAAGGTTGTTAGTGTGGTAGATTAAAAACAAAAAAATATATATATATCCAAATTACTGTAATATTCATACAGTAATGTGCAAAAGTATTGAGTCACTCCTTATTTGTTTATATTTTTCTTCCAAAGAGCCAGGATTCAATCAGTAATTATCCAGACTTTTAAACGGTCTCTTTGGACATTAACTGCTATTTTTTTTAATTCCCTTTCAATCAGGTCCTTGTACTTGATCATTTTCAGAGGAATACTTTCTTTTTTAGTCAAGAGATGGACGAGCACTGTCCACAAATAACAGACATCTTAGCAAAGGACCAATTTAAAATTGCATTTTTAGCAGCAGCCGGTCACAAAAGCAGATGATTTAGTTCCATTTGTTTAATCGAATCTATGACAAAAAGCTAAAAATAACAGTCTGGTAGGCATAAACATAAGTTTTTTGGCCAACAAGGTGATTGACAGAGAGTTATTAGCCAAAAACGTAGCTTCAATGGTGTGCAGAGTGTCGTTAAAAATTGGAGGAAACTAGGCAAAAGAAGAACTGACAGGCTTAAAATACTATCAAAGGAAGACGGAGAGTATCTGAAAGTCATGTCTCTAATAGGAAAGCATCTGATTGACAACAATTTAAATTTTCACCATGACAACGATCCTAAACACACTGCCAATTCAATAAAAGCATATTACATATAGTGGAACAATATGAGTCATTATCAAAGCACTGTGGGATCATCTTGATAGAGAACAGAACAAAAAATTTGAATGTCTTTCGAGAAGCCTAGAGAACTATTCCTTAATACTACTTAACAAAATTACAAGAAAACCTGGCTAACACAGTTCAGACTGTGTTTAAAAATGAAGGAGGTTGTACCAAACATTGACTTTCAAGATGTTAGAACTGTATAGTTCACCTATTACACCAATTGCACCAATTTCCCTTTTCCTGAGAAGACTGACTCAAGAGTAGCAGAGTACGGAATTTTTATAGACTTCCTGTTCCCTCACAGCACAATCAGGATCTAATTCTCTGGTGTAGAAGTTTAATGATGAAAAGTATCTCATTTGTTTCTGTAGTTGGAGCCGCTAGCTCTTTAGGTGTGCTGTTACAATTTTGGACTCCAGGTTTGGTTGGGTAGGGTCTCCTACTCCATAATTACTGCGGAATCACAGATGAACAATAGCATCGCTATTAGGGCGGGGTGACGTAGAAGTTTTAAGGTGCAACCATTAGAGCAGTCCTACCCATATATCGCACAGTGTGAAAAGAATCTCAGTAGTGCACAGGTGAGAGAAACACACATTTCCAGGATGAAGAGATTTTTGTATGTTTAATACAATTAATTAATCATAACTAACATAAATGGACAGATATCAGCTGAACAACTAAAATGCTTTTGTGATGTTTTGGCTTTTTTTCCCTAACAGTTTAACCTTCGACCTATAGACCTGTGTCTGCTCTTTAATGTAACATTTGCACACTGTGTTTTTCACCAATTTAAACACTCGGGGTGAGAAAAAAAAAGGTTATGGCGACAAGACAGATGACTGTCTATCAAAATGCAGTCAGATTAGATCAAATTACGGTGTAATTTAAACATTAAATCATAAGTCATAAAGATCCTCTTTACTTTCATTTAATAATAATGATGGGTCAGTGTAGCTGTTATACACACACATTTACATGTTCAGAAGCATGCATGTGTCCGAACACATCTATCTTGCAAGGTTACATGCAGTGATTGACATGAAGCCATAGCGAGGTAGATTCAATTGTGAATATTATAATAATTATACCACTGAAATAATACAACAGTGTGTACTGCAATCTGAAAGCACAAATGGGAAAACCAGAGTGAAACTAACCACAGAGGTTCAAGTAGAAGCTACTGAAGTGCTGAGCTCCAAACACAGAACTACTTTACCGAGACCTTGCAGTAACGTCCAGCACAGTGTCAGGACACAGCCAAAGCCAGATTTATGGTCCCATATTTTCGTCCATTTTTGTAGCCTAGGTTTGGTGACATGCAGTGGTGAGCCAAAGTTGAGAAAGTCCTTAGTTGTTTTTAACACTATGTTTCACTGTATTACAAAGAACTTCTTTAAATAGTTTGACTTCTTTCAGGCTAAGCTGAAAACTAAACAAGAGTAGTCAGCATTCCAGATAATTTTTAAACTGCCCCCAGCGGGCAGTAGACCACCATAACGTATAGATGTGGGTCTGAAAAGCTCTGTGTACACCTATACATGACCCGCACAGTACCATGAGGGTCCTTAAGAGAAAGAGGCCTTCATCTGGCCTCCTATAAAGACGGACCACAGCTGCTTGGCTAGCCCCTGCTGTGAGCCTGTTGGAAAATCATGGCTTGGCACAGCATGGCTAAATGAGACTAACATGAGCAAAATGAAAACCCTATTAATTTCTGTTTTCTGAAGCTGGATCAGAGTCTACAGGTTTTCCTTTTACAGAAGGAGATTTTATTCTGGCTTACTAGCATGTCCCGTTAATATGAAAGGAAACTAAAAAAATTAAATGAACTTTATTATAGTTTTTGACTTGCATTACAGCATTTCATAAATGTGATGAATGTTGAAACATACATTAGAATTTGATGGCTGAATAATCAGAGCCCTACCTCAGAGAAATGCCAACTGCTGCCCTCTGTACCTGTTCAGGTTTATGAAGCCACTAAATTCAAACTATAACTTTGTGATTTGTTTCTCAGTGACTGTAAGAATGAAATCCTTTGAAAAGCTCCACCTCCGCCTTCGTTCATTGTTTCTTTCATGTAGCTGTTTAGCCCGAGCGATATTTCTGCTGCTGTGGCCCTAAGGGAGAATGGAAAGTTAGTTGTTGTGCCTTTGTGGTGGGAGACAGGTGGGAGAAAACTCAAACACTGTAGAGCAGCAGCCTTTGCATAGAAACAGTGAGTCTCTGAGGAAAAACAAGGCATTTGTTTACAGCAGGGAAAAGCAAGGAGGCAAGTGATGAAACCTTTCTTGTCCAGGGTTTGACGTAGGTGTGTGATGTAGAGAGGAAAGAGTTAAATCATACACGATGTATTAAAATGGGAAAACAATATCACAGCCAAATTTAATTTCAATTCAGTTTCAATGCAGTTTACACCTTAATTGAATTTCTTTAACAAAATCAAATAAAAATTCTGGTAAATTACTGGTTTAAACACAGATCAGACTCTTGGCCAAACTAAATTGCCTCAAGCATATTATGTGTCCTTACAGTGTTGTGTTTTTTTTTTAAAAGGTATAGTAATACGAGGTGTTGTTTATCTTATTAAACATTGCACATATTGGCTACAGTTCCCAACCAACTTGTTGTTTTTGTGACTACATAAAGGCTTCACCTGAGTGCCAGGCAGCTAGACTTGCAGAAGGTGCTAAGCAGCAGTTCTCATGAGAGAGTAGGAATAGAAATCACACTGGGGAATTAGACTTCAGTAACATGGCAAGTCACTTGGTGATATGCACAAAGACACGGTTTAACTAAGCAAACAAAGTGCACAAATATACTCTAGCACTAAGTAAATTAAGCAAGCATTAATTTAAGTTATTTTAAAATCTCTTAACCAGCTTCCACAAGCTCTGTTCTACAAATCTTTCTGAATTTCATTCCTTAGAGATCATAAGGTGTTACAGTTTAAATGTGCTATACGCTGTAAGCCTGCCTTGGTATTTATGTGGAAGGCCAACCATGTTGGAGAGAACTTGTAAGTTTGACTGAAACACCCAATGCATGAGTCAGCAACTCTGACTTGCACTGAGATATTGTGATAATAATTAGAAACAGGCATGGGACTGTAAGCAGAAATAATCATGTCTCTGACTTATACTGTGTATTGTCGTCATCATTAGTGGAGACAAATTTATAGTTTCAAGTCTGGAGCTAACCCTAAAATAAATTCATGTTTGGGGACACTGCTGTCATTACCCTACCATGGCACCGGCACTGCCTCCATTTGCAGTGCTGAGAGGAATGATGCAGTTCTCTCCAATTAGTTTGCCATGACTAACCTGTTTGAGCAGTGCCTATGATGCACTGGGCTCCTTGAGTATAATGTGGGTGGCATTAATACATGCACCCACACAGGACCCCTTGAGTGTTATTAATTGACCACATACATTAGATATAAATCGTAAAATTAAATAAATACACATTTGTGGGTTTGCATAATGCTTATTGTATTTTTTAAAATGGATTACTTTACAAATAATGTAATAATATCTTCTGGTTTCCTTCTTTTGATGTGTCAGTGCAACCATTAACGCTTTGCAGACGCACCTTAGTGTTAAGGTCCCATGGTGTTAAGTGCAAGTAGAGATAGAGTGGGATCTGTTGCATTGATTACATTTCTCTTGTGCCCAGAGCTGCTGAACTGAGCAATTTCAGCACAAAGGTTTATTGGTTGGGTTATTTGTATGCTTTAAGCTAGTTATTTATATTTAACTTGATTCTGGTAAGCAGAAAACTGAGATTAATAAAAATTCGGACTATGACATGTTTATGCTGTTTGTTTTATTGTAGTTAGATGATATTTGCATTTATCAGATAGTATCTGGTCAGTTTATTAGAACTGGGGGGGAAATTGATACAATGGTATTGTCATATGGTGGTATTGTATCAATGCAGGGACACATGATATCTATATTTTCTTAAATACATTAAATTACTCTGGGGATACTATGAAAAAGAGGGCTCATCTCGTACATCCTGGGATAACATTAGGTGAGCAAACATACATTTTATTGACTCAACTGAAAAAACATCCAACATTGGACACACTTTGCTGTGAACTAGGAGTCAGCTTCATCAAGCTAGCTAAGGGCTCAGTCACATGAGTAAAAGTAGGACAGCAACATCCTTGCATCTACAAGAAAATCTGCCTGGTGATTGCATTGAATCTTTTAACATTCTGTGACCGATTGCAGCTTTTGATGTCTAAATGGTTGCACAGAGCTTGAGCGTGTTGATCGCAAGGTACAGATTGCATGATAGGAGGCAACCTTTCTGCAAGCAGTTGAACTCTGACCTGGACTGACTGCAATCACCATCAGAGAAAGTTGAAGGCTTGCACATAACTGTGATCTCAGTTATGTTAAAAATGTAAATAATAATGCATCATGAGTGAAATATTGTGATAATATTGTATTGTAGGGAGTCTGGAGTACTACACTAACTTTTGGTAATGGATTTATTCAGGTGCTCTGGACGAGGATGTCGTGGTGATTGAGGCGTCTCCAGCTCCCGCTCCTGCTGTCCCTGCAAGTGAGGAGATCAATGTGACCTCAACGGACAGTGAGGTAGAGATCGTCACAGTTGGAGATGGGTTCAGGTAGGCACCCCAGCTTTTTGAGTAATTAGTGAGAGTAAAATAAGATCTGAAATTAATTTGACCCTGATTCTATTTTGAATTCTTAAGGGTTTTAGGTGGATGCAGACTAAGCGTCTGAACTGTTAGTACAGTTTGCTTTTTTATCAGCAAACAAAAACTCAAGCCCAGTATTGTGAAAGTTGGGTTAGGACTTTTCTTAACTTGCAAAAATAGACTTTTACGCATGTGCTGTTAATGCTGTTTTTGTATACCAGTGCTATGCATTACGCTTTCACAACAATGCAAAGTGTCCACTTGGGTCAGTGTGGCAGATTAATGCGAGACTTTCTGCAGATACTAAAGTTTCTGGCAAAGCTACATCCTTAGCGTACCTTTTAGCAGACTAGGTAATAACTCCTCAACTTTGACACGAGCTACTGACATGACTACCTATGGGAGTGAATGATTCTGTTGATTGACATATGAGGGAATGGTAAATGCATTAGATGGGAGGCACCAATGCTAAGAGACTGGTTGGCAACTATCTGGCAATCCACAGGTTGCTGGAAAAAAATATGCATACCATGTGAATGCCTGCTGGTTAGTGGCAGATGCTAAAGCTTCATTCATGCAGTCCTAGAGATCTGCCAGTGACGCCCAGTAACCACTGGTCACCAGAGAAAATTGTTTCTTCTGTGACAATTGGCAAGAAGTCACTAGTGAAAACTGAAACTAGAAACTGATCACAAAGAGGTACACAGTGCTGCACTGAAAACCACCTTACTGTTGCTTTGGTCATTAGCAGGTTGCTGCACTCGACTGTAGTTTGCATGGAAGAAACAATCTTGTCTACAAACACCTGCAAACCCCTTCCAAGTGTTCGTGAAACTATGAGAAGTGCAACACAAACTGAAAAGAGACCATTTGTAGAAACTGCGCATTTTGAAACATGTTGTTTGTCACAATATGGTAAATCTTTTTTTTTTCTATTTTGCTTTGCATTTTTATCCAGTTTTAGCTCAGTGGGTCAATTTTAACTCATCAAGAGAAGAGCATCTTCCATTCAAACTAAGGGTGACCATTGCAGTCTGCTATTAACCAAATAAGATCTTTGGTGCAGTAGGGTCCTCTTTGCAACTGTTTTCACATAGTGACAGCCGGCAACTCACTTGCCATCCAGTTAGGAAATGCACATTTTTCTCTAGCATCTGGGGTGGGGTTACCAGGAGGGTAACAACTTATCTAGTTCTGTGTGATGTAGCCTAACCACTGTGAAATCTTTACCAGACATCAGCTGCAGAGCAAAGGGGAATTGCTTTGTATCAGGACATGGCTTTCCTCTTAAATTTACTGGAATAGCTAAGACACTGTTAGCTCCAGCTTCAGCACTTTGCTCGCTTAGACCTTTTATTTTAAGGGTTGATCTGTGATAATGTGCAGTAAGGATAGTTTAAAATGCCTTATAAGACTTAAACCAAGCGCTAGACAGCTGGTTTTGTTAGTGTGGGTGTAGCCATTTTGACAGAACTAGAAAAAGGAGTAAGTGCAGGTTGGTCATTGCTTGCTTAAAGAGAAGTTGTAGGATGGGGGTGTGTAGTGCTTTAGTTGATTTGTTTTGCTCATGGATTCCATAGCTCTGCTTACATTGAACAGAGAAACCGGTCCTAGTAGAGCTGCATGCCTACATGTTTATAGCTGTAAACCCACATCACCCTGAAGCCACCTACGCTGTGCCTCTGCCATTTAAATCTTTCTAGATATGTCAAGCACAATGTGAGGTCAACCAGATGCGTGACTAAAGGTTTATAGTTAAATATAGTTAACTTGTTACACCACGAATGATTTAAGTGGCAGGGACAAAAAAAAGTCACTTTGACATGCCGCTTTTTTATATGCTACTAAAATTGTAAAACTATATATAACCAATGTGAATAATGATCCCATATCACAGAATAATTCTAAAATTCATGTTTCATGTATACATGTATACATGTATACATCAGAACGTATTCCAGACTTGTTTTTTTAACATCACTAGAGGTTTATTATGTAAGCTTAAAACTACCATGGAGTAGATGTAGTGCTATATTGTGGCAAAGAATAACAACAATAACTAGCTGCTTCCACACTGAGTCCCTTATCCCGAGGATGGAGTCCAACTTTACCAACCTCTGGTGCGTACGGAGAAAGTTGTAGTCCTAGTTTTGCTCTGCAGCCTCTTGGGCTCAGCATTGCAGTACATGAACCAGTTCTGTACCTTTTTGTTGTTGTTTAGAGTGGTTCTCCACAGCAGAACGACGGCATGCACAAGGCTGGTTGGACTGTGCACAACTGCGTAATAGACTTTCTGGAGAGACAGCTAAATGATATCAAGGACCGCCACAGCAGTGCCAGCTAACAGAATTACTCACTAATAAAGAAACTGCTAAAATGACATGCAGAATATACTTATCCTACTTTTGATATACCTGGGCATCTCACACAAGTAAAGTCCGTATTTAGGGAAACACTGTATACATTGCATAGCCTGATTGGTATCATGGCTGCCATATCACTGTATATAATGCTCAAGTCTTTTTGATATGGATGCTAGTTAGAGACAGACATTTGAGAGCAGTGTGTTTAGAGAAGTTGTATTCCACTACACCCACCTCCATTTTCCTCACCCAATGAATCTTTTCTCTCTCTTCTCATATAACTTCTTGTCTCCTCATGCAGGCGATTATGCAGCTCAGTTCACAAACCTCTCCCTCTGTGTTAACCTCCATCTGTCTCCTTTGGCTTTCTGTCTTTAACCATATTTTTCCTGTTCCTACCTTTCACATTAGTCTATCAGTAATATATGAAAAATAGTTCCTGGAAGTGAGTATACCCAGCCTGCGATGTCATGGCCTGTCTGCCTGTTTTCCTCACTTTCAAAGATGTCCTGTCTCATTAGAGAATGTAGAGATGAGCTCTGCTGTAAGGGGGATGGGCAGCAGCAGAGCAGAAGGGCGGAGAATCAAAGGCCAGGAGAATGAGCAGTGAAATCTTTGTTCACACTGCCAGTGGTCTAATTTATATGTTCACATGCAGTTTATATTAGTACAGGCATGATATTCAGAAGTATGAAAACCCACATACATATTGTATCGTGACTTTTTCTTGGTATTTTGGGTGATTGGCTGCTTCTGATGTGATTTATTTAATTGTGTGTGATGCATTTGCATGAAAACAACTTCTGTAGGCAGAAGAGTGGGTTTCCTAAGTCTCACTACACATAGATATACTTTTTATTCTGAAAACGGAGAGAAACAGTCTTAGAGCAGCCAAAACCAGTCAAAAAGACTGGAATGCAGTGTAAAAGCTGAAGATAACATAATAAATAGCCTGATAAGTAAAACCATACAGGGTTGGACAGCCTCTCTTCACTCCCAGCTTGTGCAAAATGTGGCACTCCAAATTCAGGTTTAAACCAACAGCAGCACTTTTGACATAAGTGGGGAAAAAACGCTAAAAAAATTAAGTAAAGTGTTTCCATTTTTAACCCACTGCCTCTCAGATTGGTCATTTGACTTGCTGTCAGTGTTCTCATCATGAATTTGAACGGCTGGCAGTTATTTATTCGTTCATGCAGTTGACTCGCCTGTAAAGCTGTGCGTCAGGAGAAAATTCCAGTGTTTTAGCAGTGCACTGTGGGCTGCGTTTGGCAGCTGGTTCACCCAGAGCACAGTGAGTTACAATAAACAAGGATTATGTAGCTGACATGGATCAATTTAAAAAAAAAAAAAAAAAAAGCCCTTGATGAGTCCCTGCCCTGATTCTGCTAATCAGCTCAGTATATGCATATTAGGGCAGTGAATATCACGAGACTCTCTGTGAGCGTTATGTGCGTGCTACATTTTTCTGCAGGATTCCTGAAAGTTTTCTACTCTGTGTTTAGAGTTGGAAGGCCTAAATTATGAATACACAGCCAATACTGCTGTCAGGGCAAAGCTTAATGCCTCACATTGTTTATTCTCTCTTACACAGTGCTGTTGGCCTTGTATGATCCCCTCCCAACCTTTAAACTCCCAACCTCCCAGCCTTAGCTGCCCATAGCATCAGTCCCAGCAGTTTACATTGCCGCAGTGCACAGAACCTCAGCTCCCTGGGGTTTGTGTCTCTCAACACTTTGGTTTGGCACAGCCTCGACATTGCCAAGCCACCCATTCCCACAGTGTTCATATTTACAATGTACTGTTTTGCTCTTTGCTGCCACACTCAAGGGGTCATAGTGGTAAACAGATATTTACAAAATAATCCCAGGGCTGCTTAATTAGGAGCCCATCCCTAGTGGCAAGCCCTGCTCCTTGGGATCAACCCTGAGCTGAGGATGCTGGCCAATTAGACCCCAGTACAACCACCATGTACACCCCTTCCCTCACCCCCACTCCCACTCCCTCCACCCACAGATGCCACCCTCACTGCTGTGTGTTCAGTGGTGAGGAACAAGTGTTTGTTAGCAATGTGTGAAGTATGAAGTTTAATAAGCTTCCTCCTCTATTGTTGCATTGTGCAGTACGTCCCAGAGGAAGCTGATTTGGACGAGGACAGTATGAGCTAGTGGGAATCCCCCTCAGCACAAAGCGTTTGCTCTGTTACATTTAAGCAATGAAATCAAAGCCATCTCTTAATTAGTTTGTTTCTTAGTTAGCCAGTTCAAAACGTTACATATTCATCTTTAAAGTATTAAAGTAAAACATGCAGGCACTAAAAGTGAAATGAGGAATAATAATGCTTTTTATTTACTAGTTAACTTTATACAGTGCAGTAAACACTTTTGCTTTTTAAATAACATTAGTTTTCATCAGTAACACTTCCATAGGTTTAAGGTATTTGGTAGTTTGGTTATTTCACCAGCTTTCAGGGCTTACCATGAGTGTTCATTGGACTCAAGTCTGTCTTAATATTTCTTCCGGTGATCCCAGAGTGGTAAATCCTATTATTATTTTTAAAATACAAAACAAAACCTCATTCGTGACAATGACTTAACAAGGTAAAAGGAAAAAAAGATTGCAGTATTTGCTCACTTCTTTCTTTGGTGTGAGTAAGTCCATTCTTCCTATTCTACTCAGTTGTTCTAGTTTCTATTTGGTTTTGTAATCTGCTCGGACAAGATCAGGGAAATACCCTTAGAAGTCACAAGTACGTCATTTGGCTAAAACAAAGAGAAAGATTTTGGGACGTTTACAGCAAAGGCCTCCAATTCATGTGATCTCTCTCGGTTTTCTCTGTGTTAAAAGGAAAACATGAGAAATAATTTAATTTCCCCAAAAGTTAGAAAATTAGTGTGTTCCAGTAGCCAAAACATACCAGATTAAAAAAGCTTCTAGGGTTAAAACTGATGTTCAAAATGGGACTCGGTTAAAACGAAAATGTAAAAAATGAAGAGCTGAATACCATAAAATCTAAATATGAGGATGCAGGTCTTTGCATTGTGTTCTGCATACATCCTGAGCTCAAACAGATGTTGTACAAAGTGTTCCGCAGTATGTCCAGGGTGACCATTATTCATTGCCACAGCGATTTGGATGAACTCTGCATGAGCCAATAGCAGATTCCAGTCAGTGTTTATTCAAACAGCAATGACGAATTCCCTTGGCAACTAATATGGATGCATTCCAACAGTTAGCAGTTCAATATTCAGGCTGCAGAAAAGTTCCTTCATAGTAACGTGATGAGATTGCGCCACTTTTTCAGGAGGATACTCTGCATACAAAAGACTTCACACACTGGACTCTGCCTGTGTAAGCTTTTGGTTCTCACCATGCTTTATTTGGAGCCAGACTTAAACACATTAAGACTTAAGAGAGTGAGGTGCTAAGTTACGAGCTAATCATAGCTAGTATTGTTAGCAAGCTGTGTGCATAAACTCTGTGTTGGTATCACACAGACACATTTACCTGCTAGTTAGTGCCTGGTAAGCAGATTAAGGAAATACCAGATTTAACCAAAAACAGAGCCACTGACTCATTAAGATGGTTCTAACTCACTGTAAGCCATGCTATGTGTCAAATAATTCCATTTAAAAAATGCTTTTTCATAAAGTCACCAACACCACAAATGTGGCCCAGAGGTTCAGTTCAGTGATTTGAATTGGCCAGAGTGAAACATAGTAGACAACAAGTGGCCTCACCCCTAGATGCCATTTGCCACAAAGGGCAAATTTATCAATAGAGAGCAAATCTATTTTTGTACCAGACTGTAAACAAGTTTATTTAATGGCTGAAGCTCAGCGTTTTAACATCTGAGTCTCTGAGGATTGACTCATTTGTGAAGCCAGGCAGAAGTCAAGTTTTTGCCCCCAGTTTGCTCCTTAAAAAGGGTTAAAAAAAGGAAAAGGGTCAATCTAACAATGACTTAATCAGTAACATATTGATGTCTGATGTATATGTATCAATCAGTAGGAATCTCTGAGCTGGTCACATCAGGGTTACTGAGACTGTGCTGTTGCTTCCTTCCCTCTGCTGCTCTGTATTCCTGTTTTTAATCTCTCATTTAGCCACAGTGAAATTCCCTAGCTGCAGAGCTCCATGGCATCAAGCTTTACGGCACTCCCATTTAGTCTCTTGACTCTTGTCCCTTGAGGTCATGCCCTCCTCCCTCTGATCACCTAGATTTACAGTGCTGTGGAGGGAAATGTGGCTACTCCCTGGCCTCTCACTTGAGTCTCAGAGGCCATGGGGTAGAGCGACCGGAGCCTTGGAGAGAGAAAATTAAAAGAAAGATAAGAAAATGGGCTAAAGGTGGGGCAAGAGCAGCACAGCGTTTGACTTAATTCGAGGAAAACGAAAGGTGGTTGGAGACGATGGGAATATTTAGATGCAAGGCTGATTGCAGAACAAGTCTGCAGATTCTAAAAGTCAATTTTTTGTATTGTTTTTGTTTTTTGGGGTTTTTTTATTTAGCGACTAATTTACTAAGTAAATTATTAAAGTTTCAAACAAAACAATTAGTGCAGAACAAAAAAAGAATGCAAAACTACACAACCTAATGGATGATGTTAAATATTTTACAAAGACAGGAGACTAGTTTGTCAAGTGTGGCTTATCTTAGCAGCACCAGCTGTAATTCTTTCTCTGCAGGTCCACACACGTGTGCAGACTGTGGTTCTGTGTTGCTCTGGTGGTGATATGCCACTTTACGCCACCACAGGCTGCAGATCAAAGTATAACAGAACTGCGCTGGTTGCAGGGCTTGTCATTTGTTTTACTTTCCAGCATGCTCATTTACAGCTTACTGCCACAGAGTCATAGGGGCTGTTGCTAACTAGTGGTGGATGGTTGCTTAGCAGTTAAAAGGCATTGACCATTATTTATATTAGCAGAGTACTAACATTTAAACGTATCACTGACTAGTCACACACATCCCTAGCCTACCATGCACTGTTTTAGATGCTGCAGCAAAACAAGCCATTACACAAAGTCCTTCTGTCAGATCTGCTCACTTTTACTTCCTCATCCACTTTTGCAGCAGCAGCATCTGCTGGCCTGGAAATGAACTGGTCTGGCTCTTGTAAAGCAAATGCTTCAGTGAGCTGTGAGAATAGTCCCGGTGGTCCTGAACTCCAGCATGTTGTAACAGTCTCTTTTTCTTTCTCCCCTTTTTTCAATGTGTCTATTTTCTGCAGGTCACGCTCAGTGGGGGGTCTTGGCCGAATGTGGGGTAATAGTTGCTCCCAGAATCGCCTCCAGGAGCCACGTGGACGTCACAGGCTCTCCACTGTTATCCAACCGCTGCGGCAGAATGCTGGGGAGGTGGTGGACCTCACGGTTGATGAAGATGGTAACACAGAACTCGTTTCAACAAAGCCTGGTTAAAAGATTACTAAGCGATGTTTTAACTTGGGTCTTACTGACTCAGCTAATGTACTTTTCATGCAAGCTGTGCGAGAGTTGTAGTAACTTATTTGTCACAGTCTACAACTGTGAAAGATAAAACTAAGACTAAAATATATACAAGGAAAAAACATTTAAAATTAAACTTAAAAATACTCAAAAATACTGGATTTAATTGTCAAGTTGTTACAGAACTTTAATTTAAGCCACATGCACATCTCTGGAGTGTTTTAAATTTAGATATGAGATGTAAAGTAAGCAGACAAAGATCTAATGTTGAGTGGAACCAAAAGCGATATTTTACCAAAAAACGTACAATTAGTAACAGAATTGGCTAATTATTTATTAAATTGACTTAAATTTTAGTGTCATTCTAGTTCATACTCAGCTTTGTATGGTTCTGTGACAACATTAACCTAAACCAGTAAGGTTGCATTTCTTTTCAGTGTATTCGTATCTCGCACTTTATTTTCTGTTACATTGCTTTGTATTGGTATTTGTCTCTTAGCCTGGATGTCATTCTCTGTATCAGCCTGCGCCTGTGATTGGTAGCAAAATGGTGCCTCACGCAGTATTAGAGCATTTGCATTTCTTAGGAGAAAGAGGGAAATTAATTTGTGAATATGAAAAGCAGATGGTATTTACACACTGGAATGCTAATAAGGTCTGCTCTTCTACTTGGCTGCTAAGCCTGTGCAGACACTATGGTATGGCAGACATTACCAGTGTGCACAAATACCACAGTGTCTCCTCCACACATAATCGTGCTTGGGAATCGATAAGAAATAAGCGATTCCGATTCCATAATCGATATCAGTTATTGATTCGATTCCTTATCGATTCTCATCAAGTTCTCTCTGGCTCTGCTTTGAGAGTGGCCAAGATTTCTAAGCAGCATATCAAAGACATTGCATTCCTAGAAATTAATAGCGTGCTGTGTGGTCAAATGTTGCACGCTGGAGGTGTTTCCCCTCTTTGTTGTGATCATTATTGGGCTCATTACTCAAAAAAGTAATTATTACCTATTACACAGAACACTTGTCTTAAACGTAATGCTGTACATTACTTAATGTCTTTATCCTTGGAGTAATTAATTATTACTACTATTCGTTAACATTACTTTCACATTTTTCTATAAAATGACCTGAAACAGACCGTCTGACAATTACCAGTTAACAATATAAACCTATAGGTTCCACACACCAACACGAATCCCTATCCTAATGAGGACACACATATGATATTTCTCTTATTATTTACACAAAGCCGACAGCACAAAATAAATCGCCACAGCAGCCCAACTCCTCATCTGCTTGTTACCTGTTAAAGTACACGGTCTGGCTGCTGGGCATTCACTCAGCTTTATCATCAGTCTGTGTTCTAGCTAACTTAGCATTAGCATACTGCCTGTGGAGTTGCTTGCAAAGAGCCAAAGTTCTGTTACAAGTCTAATTCATTTGTTTCTGTAATGGATGGATTTTGCACTTTGCGCTCCCATGCTTTTGTGTAATAAAAATAAAAGTAATGTCATAACCACACTGTAGACTGTGCCACTATCTTCGTCCTCCTGCAAACTGAAATCAGCTGATTGTAGCACAAGTGAAGTCGATAAAGGGGATTGATAGGCAAGCAGGCTAACACTTCCAAGGAACTGAACTTCCCGATTCCCACCCTACTTCTGATCAATAACTCAACTGACAAAAGTCAGCTGGTTTTTATTTTGGTGACATAATCTTTTCTGATTACCATTTGATTTTGTTTTTTTTTTAATCCACAGATCTCTCAGTTGTGCCAACAACCTCTGGCGGGATTCAGCCTCAAACAGTCAGGTCGTCCTCATCATCATCATCATCCCATCAAGCCTCTACCTCAGAGCTCAATGATGCCCCAGGCCCTTCCACTAGCTGCCCAGGTTCAACACCTGAAAGTATGCACACACAGAGGCCAAGTGGCTCTGCTCGCACAGGTCCAGAGGGTAAGACAGGACACAGCATGTTGACATTGCTGCAGCAGGCAGTTTCTTTTCAACTGTTGTCTGGAGACATCTTGTGTTTAAAAAATCAATTCTTTTTAGTGGCCAATTTCTAATGAGTCTGTATTGTGTGGTCCTCTGTGATATTGTCTGCCCTGTAAAAGCATTTTTAAAAAGAAAAATAATTCTCATATATCTTTCTCTCATCAGATGACAACAGACCAGGTTTGTCAGGTACAACAGGAGAAAATGCAGGCGTGGCCATGCCTAGGCTCCCATCCTGTTGTCAGCAGCACTCACCATGCGGAGGCCCCTCCCCTGGTCACCTGCCCCTGAGCCACTCCCATCCAAGTTGCTTGCAGGCGTCGTCCCCTCAGCAGACCAGCAGCTCTCAGCACAGCCACAGCAACACTCAACACTTTCTCCATCATGCCCACCACCCAGCACCGCAGCCCCCAGGCACCATGCTTTTTCCGGAGCCGATATGCCCCGTGGTGCGACCCAGTGCTCTGCCCGCCCCCTGCGCCGGAGTCAGCAGCAGCAGCAACAGCAGTAGTAGCAGCAACGCAGCCCACTACCATGACCAAGTATGGCTGTTTGTACAATATTTATTGATTCATAGCTGTTAGCGAGGCAGTATAAGCATACGCTGATTCCACACAAACCAGGTTTTCGTGACCACTAAGGTTTATTTTCTTGCATGAAGAAATCCTGGCACCCCAGAGATATTTTAAGTGGAGCTAAGGGAAGATCAGAGCTAAGGAAAAAATAATTTATTAAGTTAAATATTTATCCAAATGTATATTGTCAGCAAAGAACTGCCCCAAATACTGAATCACCCTTATGTTGAAGAGCAATGATGTAGTCTGAGTAATGGGGAGTTACAGTAGTCAGGTTAGAGGCTTTTAGCTACCTTCATTGTTGCTTCATTCTTTGCCTCATTCCAGGCATTTATTGAGATTATCTGACAGGTGTTTGGAAACACAGAACAGCTGTACTCACTCTGTCATGAGGACTCGTTATATCCCTACAGTATCCATAACCTTCAGTAGAGTGCAGGGTGAATGAAGTGAGAGGATTTTTTGTTATTATTTTATTCCACGACAACTTCTGAGCCTGTTTTTGTCAAAGCTTCATGATGCATTTGGAATCAATCAGTGAATGTGATCATTAATGTTTTATTTACAGTGCTGCGAAAAACTACTTGCCCCCTTTCTGATTTGTTAGTCGTTTTGTTTCATTTTGCATATTTGTCTTGTGTCTGTTTTATGCTTCGGATCCTCAAACACATTTTAGTACTTCTCAAAAATAAGTCAATACAGAATTTTTGTTTATCATCATTTTATGTCCATAAAATGCTTTTCAGGTGTGACCCCGTGTAAAAAACGTATTGCCCCTCAACCCTAATAACTGGTTATGCCACCATTGGCAGCAAGAATTGCAATCAAGTATTTGTGATAACTGGAAGTGAGTGTTTCACATTGGTGTGAATTTTGGCCCGTTTGTTTTAATTCAGCCACGATGGAGAGTTTTCCAGCATGAACGGCCTGTTTAAGGTCACGCCAAAGCATCTCAAGAACATATGATTTACATTTACATCTCTCAGCCTGGAAAGGGTTACAGAGACATTTTTAAGGCTTTGCGACTCAAGTAAACTACAGTGAGGGTTCACGTGAGTCCACACGTGTAGAAAATTTGGAACAGTGGTGAACCTTCCCTGGAATCAACTAGAACTGCGGGCCTCACTTGTTTCAGTTAAGGTCAGAGTTCATGATTCAGCAATAAGAAGGAGAGTTGTTAAAAATGGCATTTATGTGAGGATTCCAAGGCAAAACCACTGCTGACCAAAAACAACACACATAATAATGATCAGAAACACACCAGCAACTCCACCTCTGAATGGCTGAAGAAACAAAAACAAAATGAAGGTTTTGGAATGGCCCACTCAAAGAGTGGACGTAAATCTGATTCAGATGTTGTGGCGTGACCTTAAACAGACTGTTCATGCACGAAAACCCTCCAGTGTGGCCGAATTAAAACAATTCTGCAAAGAAGAGCGGACCAAAGTTCCTTCACGGCGATCTGAAAGACTCTGTGCCAGTTGCTGCAAGCACTTTATGGCAATTGTTGCTGTTAAGAGTGGCACAACCAGTTATTAGATTTAGGGGGCAATTTCTTTTGCTACAAAATCACCATCTTATAAACTGCTTTTTGTATTTACTTGATTTGTCTTTGTCTTAAATGAAGTTTCATTGACATGTGTGACAAAAATGTGAAAAAAGAAGTCATTAAGGATTTAAACACTTCCTCACAGCACTGTAGTTAGAGACTGAGGGAGAAAAAACTAAGTAGAGGTTCCTGATGGGTTTTTTTTTTCACTCAGAAAGACGAGCTCAGTGTTCTGCAGATTTGGTCCCAATTCTTTCTGAAATGTCTGTCTTCCTTTCATAGCAAACTTTGCCAGTGGACCTGAGCAACAGCAGCGTTCGGAGCAGTGGAAACAGCGGGGCGAGTTTCCATGGCAGCACTTCAGCCTTTGACCCTTGCTGCCCAGGTTCCACCTCACGGCCCCCTGCTTATGTTTCCCAGCCCACCCCTGGGCCCAGTCAGCCAAGTGTGGTGGACTCATTCAACTCCCCTATGGTGGCTCAGCCCCAGCCGCAAACACAGCCCCAGCCCTGCAGACATTACATGCACCCAACTTGTGAGTACAACGCAGTACATTACATCAGACTTTTTAAACTTTTGAAAATGCATTTTGAATGTTTGCTGCTGCCTATGAAAACAGATTTGCAATGCAATAATACTAACCAATGCTCGCTCACAGACACTAGTGCTGGCTAACAGGTTAATGTGCTCAGTGCTGAGAAACTTAATTTGCTACTCAGAATTTTCCAGTATCTGGTTAGTCTGAAGCAATGCGATGAGGATTCTTGGTGGGGATGTCGTGAAAATTTAGAGTCACTGGTGCCTCTCCTTACCGTTCCCTTACTTGTCCACCCTCCCTGTTTCAGTGCAGTGTGGACAAATATTAACAAATTCAAATTCAAAACAGGAAACGGGCAAGGCCCCAAGAGGACCTATAATGGGTTTTTTCTTATTTTCTGTCATATATAATATTCTAAAATGTACTGTTAAAACAATCCTAATGCTATACCAGTCTTTTATAGTAAAGAGACAGAACCGTCAGTTCAGGGGTCGTTCTTATTCTCACCTATAGGTAGCTCTGGGTAGTGACTGAAAGAATGAGATATAAGATGTAAGCAGTGGAAATGATCTACTCCAAATTGTATGGATTTCTTTTTAGTGATAGGGTGAGGAGCTCAGATTAGAGCAGCTACTCCTCCACACAGAAAGGAGCCACTTGGTCCAGGTATTTGACCTTTCAAATGACGGAGGCCCGGGGGCAGACCAAGGAAATGCTAGAGAGATTTCATATCTCAGCTAACTTGGGAATGTCTTGGTCTCCACCCACACCACAAGAACTGGGGGAGGGCTGGGCTGAGGGAGGGCTGGGTGTCTCATCTTAGACTGCTGACCCTGCAATCTGGACCTGCTTGAGTGGCAGAAAGTGGATGGATAACTGGTGCTTGTATTAAACATAGCAAAAGTTTCGAATGGTGAGGTCAGCATGTGAACAAGTAAATCCCATGAGTCCAAGGCTCAGGCCTCACAATGTTTTAAATAGTTGACTTTAAAAAGGTTTTAGTCCCTTGGCTTGATAGGTCATAGACACGGGATGTCCTTTGCTGGTTGCGAGCGCAGTAGCTCCATAGCAACCTCGTATTCAAACTGATTTTGAGGGGGAGCCGATAAGAAAACTGTAGGGAGCTAAATATCTTGTTTTAGACAGATGAGAAGCTGAACCTTTCTGCCATACTGGGTATATATAATTTTATTTTAAAGTGATAATTTTCCATCAACTATTAGACTTGTGATTGGAGTAGGTTGGAAACGGAAGATATCTGCATTTATTTGTTCTTTTTTTTTTTTTTAACACGAAGATCCTTGCATAATTTGACAGTCTTAACTTTTCCCCTTTATCTCTTGTCAAACCCAGATGGCCCTCTAACACGTTCACTGCATCATCAGTCCTCTTCCGCCTGTCCTCATTCCCATGGGAACCCCCAGCTTACACCTCAGACCCCAGCACAAGGTGAATTTCTCATTCCCCACACCTTTCATGCACCTCTGTCATCCCACCCGCCAGGCCACGCCGTGCCGCCCGCCCCTCCCCCGTCTCTGTCCACCCACCACCTCACTAATTCAAGTGCCCAGCTGGCCCAACATCTCCCTGCGGACCACCAGACCCTGCCGCACATGTATAGGATGGAGGTTCAGAGGCGCAGGATGATGCAGCACCCCACGTGAGTACCAGTGCAGGCTAAACTTACATAATTGATGGCTTTTCTTTGCTGAACATGTATTTTCCTGTCTTTCCAGACGAGCACACGAGCGTCCTCCTCCACACCCCCACAGAATGCACCCCAACTACGGCCATGGGCACCACATTCATGTGCCACAAACTATGTCTTCCCATCCTCGCCAGCCTGAGCAGAGAACAGCATGGTCAGTATCATCAGGAGTGTAATGTGTGTAATGTGTAAGTTTCATACTAGCTAATCCAGTGATTCCTAGATTTCATAACTACCAAAAAGAAAGCAAAGAAGAAACATGGAGACCCATCTCAGTGTCACAACTTATTTATTTTTTTTAGTCTTTCCTATCATGTCACAAACTGAAGTTATTTTTCTATGTTAAATAAACTGAATGCCCATGAAGTGAAGTACCCTTTAGAAACAGTATTATAGATATTTAATGTGACTGCACTTACATGATTATTTGGATTGATGTGGTTTGATGTAATAATGACTCACCGCCTTGTGTCAACAGGGAGCTCGGCATCGAAGCCGTAGCGCCGTTCCCTTCAGGGCACCTGCACTCCCACCTGCCACACTACCACCCTCCCCCAAGACTGCACCACTTCCCCATCCCCTTCATGGTGAGAAACCCTCAGCACACAGGCATCCATTAGCATACATGAAAATGAATCACTTTTATATGGAGTTTGGCTGCGATTAATGGAGTTTGCTCCTTATTTATAACATCAGTTATTTCAAGGATGGTTTAGTGAACCCATGAATAATTCATTAGCAATTAATAGTGGCTCATCAACCATTTCGAGTGCACACTCAACAAATCCAAAAAAATCCTCGACTCTCATCCTGCGCAAATATAGCCGACAGTTGTGATGTTATTATTATATTAAGGAATCTATCATCTGTGACCTTTATCATTACACATATGCAGTGCCTGCATTTTCAGAAGTTTTTAATTAATTACATTATTTTGTTGAAACTTGGCTTCCGTTTTAGAAATGGCAGCAGCACATGTTGGTTTTGTTTATTTTTTAATAAAGCTAAGCTGACACAACACCCTTCATGGACCACATTACAGTGTGACTGACTGCATTCCTTGTATTTTAAGGCTAAACTTAATGAAACTTCCTCCCCTGCAGCACACTGGCATATCTGAAGTGACCTACCCGCACATTAGGTACATCTCATCTAGAATTACTGGCTTCGGAAGAAATTATGAGGTGAGTACTGTTTGTAAATGTATAAGCCTGAGGACAGTTGGGTCAAAACACGAGTACGAGTTACTGTTTCATTCATCACGGTTGTCTGTTACTATAAATTTTAAAACGGCTTGACTCATCTCCGCATGACTCAGCATTATTGTGATCCTGTCATGGCGTCAGTGTTGGTTTGTTTTTATTGAAAATGCACGCTGGAATCGGATGAATGCTGCTGTCGCAGGAAAAAGAAGGGAGACGGTGTTTTAGTGGAAGTTTGTGCAAGGAAAGTTTTTAGCGTTTAATAAACAGTGCAGGGTTATTAAAGAGACAGATTAACCAAAATCAGATTCACTGAGGCCTGTTGCACATCTACATTTAGGTCCTTAAGTGTTGTAGTTTTGCCTCTTTACACCACCACAGTGGATTTTAAATCAAACGGCATCACAGTTTGTGATTGTCCCACATTTTCAGCATCTGAAAATTTGTTTTTTGATGAAATAACATAAATTTATATTCATTAGTTTTCAATTCCTGGATGAACTTGTGGACATCATCAAATGCCTTGTTGGTTAATTTGAGACAGTCTACCAGCCCTTTATTGCTGCCACCTTCAGTGTTTGTCAGGAGATAAGATGTACCACAATGTAAGGAGTGCTCTGACACGTTGATAAATATGTTTTTTTTTTTATCTGATTAGCTTGGTAGCATTTGTCTTAATCTGAGCAGAATGTGTTGCCCTGTACTTCACAATTCTGCTGCTTTTATCAGCAGTCACATCGTTGGTAACCCGGTTCCATTGGCAGCTATATTTGCCCGTGTCATAACATTGCCTCAGGTTTGACAGATGATGTAGTTTGATCGTTACCCATAGTACAAGTTAATTTTCGTTTGTTTCGTCTTGTCCATATATATTTATATATACACGTGTACACAAGTTTTTTTCTCTCCCCAGAACTCTATAAGCAGTGTTTTCTGATCTGTTCTTCCTGTAACCAGTGGTTTGCACTTTGTTCCAAACCCTACATGTATTTATATTCATGAAAGCATCTGTTGATTATAGACGGTAATGCTATCTGTGATCTTTTGGGGTTGTTGAGGTGGTCAGAGAATTCATTCTATTTAAGACTGGACCACATTGGTGTAAGGAACTTTAGAAGTGACCAAACCAGCTGGTATAAAATTTGCTGTAATTCTTAAACGGTTCATCTAAAATGATCATAAAACCCCTCAGCTTAAAGGTTGAAGTCTACATATCAGTGGCATATTGATTGTTTGATTTTTAAAATCCAATCTTAGCAGCTAAATTACAAAAACCACTTCGTTGTGCAACAAATTATGGACCTCACTGCAGATTATTTTAGTCTGAGTTTTGCAGTGTTATCTAAAATGTTTCCCTCCTATTGAATATAAAAGGAACTCAATCCCAGTTGCCTTATTTGGCCTGAAACACCAAATAAGTACATTTGAAAAATTCACCAGTGGCGTCATGTCCACGCAATCATCACATGATTGCTCAGAAAATTCCACAAACGTTGGCATTTTTTCATATAGGAATTGTTTTCTTTCTGCTGAAGAAAACTGTACCCATCAACCACATCACCGCAAGAAAAAGGAGTGCGTCTAACTTTGGCAGGTTCATACTTGTGACATCGGGGTAGGATGTAAAGATCAATAGCGTCTTCATAACTGTAGCTGTAACGCTCGTCTTCACAACGAGCTGTAACGTTAGCTCGGTACACGTCGTCTTTGGTGGTGAATGTGGTTTAATAGAAAGAAAATAGTTCCCGTTTTGAGCTTCTCACACTGCAACCCCAACTCACAGTCTCAAAATGGTGAATTGACCTCTGAGCTCGGTGTGGCCAAATGTTCATGAGCAACCTTTAACCTGAAAAAATTGCTCCCAGAACACGTGTCTGTCAGCCGTGACGTGAAAGCTTCTTCTCACAGAGCCGTCTGCCTCAGTGAGTTGAATTTATTTGCCAAGTCACGCAATTCAACAAGCCAACAAGCACAGTGAGTGGCTCAGTAGGTAACCACAGCTGTCCTGCTGACACTGCATAAACCATTGGCTTGATTTAGAAATATTAATCTGACTTTCGATGACTACTTGGAAACCCATTTAGTCAAAGGCTTTATCTGCTTAATTGATTAATCGAACAGCTGGTAAAGCCTCTCCATGAAGAAAAATGTCAGTTTGTACAGAAAATGTCAGCTTTTTCCCCCTCCAATCAGGACCTGCTGCATTTAGAGGAGAGACTGGGGACTGTGAACCGAGGAGCCTCTCAGGGAACCATAGAGAGGTGCACTTACCCACACAAGTACAAAAAGGTGAGGACCTGTCAGAGTGTGTGTGTTGTAATAAATATATAATGTGCTTACAGATTTTGAAGCTGCTGTCTATAGTTGTGAATGTATGCTGCAGTTGCCTCTGGGACAGAGTGCGCAGTGGTCTTTTGTGCTCATTTCAAACATCTGATGTTTTGCCAGCATTTAGAAAAACACTGTAGTGTCTTTTACCAGAGATTTGCAGCTGTGACGATATCTGTTGGGGCAAAGTTTCCGTAGAGGTTTCCAAATGTATCTAAATAAGCAATCTAACACCCTGCCACCCAATACAGAAGGTGTTGGAGAGAGACATTGACCAACAGTTAACCCCTGAAGCTTGGGCATCTATTGGGAAAAATATGCACGCAGACCCAGAATCGGTGAGAAATAATGAACAAATCAATTTGGAAACATGTCTCTGCTCACATGTACAGTAGATGTTAGTGTTAGTCTTGGGGGCCAGGGAATTCGGCTAATTACTTTGATTTGAATCATTTTGATTTGATTAAAAAACATTTTTCTGTTTCAGGACAAAATGACCATTCTCTCTGTCCCCAAATCTAATGTATTGTTGTAAACATAGTTACCTCTTTATCGGAAAAATATCACTTGTTTTTTTTTTTTTTAAATACAAACTTAATACATACTTCTAATCTTACTACAGTGTTTTAATTGAGTAGCTTGTGTTTGAATTCATAGGATTTTGTTTAACCATCTGTAATAGCAGTTGTTGATCGACACTGCTCATCAAAAACAAACGTTTCTCACAAACAGAGAAAGCTGCACGGTAAGCAAGACGAAGACGAGGGGGCAGATGAAGACACAGAGGAGAAATGCACCATCTGCCTGTCAATACTGGAGGAGGGGGAGGATGTCAGGTAAATGTCTCGCCTCCTGGGTGTTCGTCCCGCTCGCCGCGCTCGGTTTTGTGTGTTCAATTACGCTTTCAAGGGTGTGACGGAGACAGGTGGGATAGCAGGTGTAGTTTAGCCGTTTCACATTGTCTCATAGGATGTCAAAAAAAAAAGAAAGACCCAGAGGCATTAAAGTAATCAGCAGAAAATCCCAAAGAGCCTTAAAATTACAAGCCTCATGGTGCTGCGTTTTGGCACTCACTCAAGTATTTCTTTTAAAGAGGATTTTCTGCCCCCTGTTGGTTTAAGAGAAACTGAAAAATTAAATGTTTTTCTGTTTTCTTTACCGTGCACTACAAATTGCGAATCCCTTAATTATTGTTACTCACTAACAACATTTAGTCTTTATTCTTACATTTAAACTGTGTTTTAAAATCAGTGTTTCCCTAATTGGAGAAAGCAGATGGCAGCTCTGTTTGTAAGGAATACAGATGAAAACTTAAATATATGAATTATACGATGGACTCAAGTGTTTAAAGGCACTTTTATCCGGTCAAATCAAAAACTTCCTCATTGACAGTGTCTGACATTGTAAAATATACTTAACTCTGTTTTTTGGAGCCTATCCCCAGCTGTCGTAGGTCGAGAGGCAGGGTGCGCCCTGGACAACTGTTACAGCTGTTAGCTCACTATTTCAGCCATTTCCTGACTTCTTTCAGCTGTTGTTGTATTTAAACCCATCTCTGCATTGAGGGTACCAGCATGCAGCAGTTTCATTCATTTGAGCTGTTTTTATGCAGCTTCTACAGAATACAACTTATTCACTTTTTGAGCCATTTTAATGTTAATTTAACCTTAATGACATTTTAATGTACCAATAACTCAGCTGTATGTTTGTATAGCTTATCCACTGGATTTTGTTGGGTTAGGGTAGCCCCGGCTGGGAGTCGGTGGTTTTGATACAGCTTGTATTTTACTCACAACAGTGGTTTAAGACTTAATGTGACAGAAAACAACAATTTCAGTCTTTGATTAACTAAAGATGTTGGGTTTTGAAAGCTTTGTTTTTGGGGCCTGTTGTTAGCTGTGGATTCGGTGCACTGGTGATCATTTAAAATAGCTGAACAGTAACATAGTGCTTAGCAAGTTTATTAATATCACCACTCAGTATAACATTTATGCCAAATAAACAGAACTGTAATTACCAAAATCATTATTTCTGTTTCTGTAATGGTTAATTCACTGATATTCACACGCTCTTTAATCAAAAAGATATTTTTAATAGGCTAAATTATAATTATTGTTGTTATCCATCAAGTTAAATTTTTACAAAATGAGAAAATTTTTTTAAAAATGTGTTATTTACTTGCATCCTGAACAGAAAAAATATTTTAGTGGTTGAATGTTTATTTCTGACTTTCAGTTATTTGAGTATAAATGCATGAATTCAGAATAATATTAATATAGTTTATAGATTTAAACAGACAGATTTCCTGGCTTTTGCACGTGACCATAAACAAAGATTTTAGTAGACAAAGTAGTGCAATCGTTTCTGTTTTTGAAATAGGTTTCGCTGTTTTCATCGGATTTTTAAAAAAAACCCCAAAACTATATTTTAATTAAGCTCATGATCAGGCAGTGCTGCTGTATCATGCATGTTAATATTCCATTCAATTTTATTTATACAGTGCCGAATCACAACAAGGCACTTTATATTTTAAGGTAGACCTTACAATAATACATACAGAGAAAAACCCAACAATCATATGGCCCCCTGTGAACAAGCACTTTGGCAACAGTGGGAAGGAAAAACTTCCTTTTAACAGGAAGAAACCTCCGGCAGAACCAGGCTCAGGGAGGGGCGACGGGTTGGGGAGAAGGAAGACAAGATAGGGAAAGGGAAAGCCTGCTTAATCTATTTCTTTGTCTCACGTCTCTCTCCTCTGTTTCCCCTCCAGACGCCTACCGTGTATGCACCTCTTCCATCAGCTGTGTGTGGATCAGTGGCTCCTCACCAATAAGAAGTGCCCCATCTGCAGAGTGGACATTGAGGCGCAGTTGTCTGCTGAGAGTTGATGCTGTTTTTTTTTTTTTCCCCCCTTTTTCTTTTCTAACAACCCTTTTGTTAAAAATTTATTTTGAGATCATATTAATTTCTCTTCAGTACTGCAGTCAACCAAAGATGGCATGAATTACCCCTGCAGCAGCTCTACTGCAAGGATATTAAAAAAAAAAAGACATCTGACAGAGAAAAAAATAAAAGCATTGAGCCTAGAGTGCCAGCTATCACATGTTACTACAACAGCTAGAATTCTCCATTAAGGGTTTAAGATTTTATTGTATTTATAAAGCTTTTATGTAGCTTTTTTGATCGTTTCCTCAAGTGTCATTTGCGTTCTGTTTCTCTGCATGTTTCCTCGCAATGCATTTCTTTGCACATATAACGTGGGCTCGACACGGCCTAACAAGTTGCAGGTGAGGATAGCTGCTCTAGTAAAGATGCATTTCTGTAAACCCAATGCCTCGCTTTACTAGAATAGAATGTCAACCTCCAGTTAAGGAAAAAAAAAGAAAAACAACAAAAAACAAAACAAACATTGCAGGATTCATTTTACCAATCATTGTATCATTGATTAGTTTATGTTTAGAAGATGTGGATTGTTAGTGAGAGATGTTTTTTTTTTTCCTTTCCTTTCTTTTCTTTTTTTTTTAAGTAAATCAAGACATTCCTAACTAGGGAACTATGTTAACAGATCAGCTGCTGTATTAGTGCACACCCAGTATTTCTAGAGTGGAAATAAACTCAGATGTTCACCTCACTCCCAGAATATGCACACGCTTTGCTACGATTACACCACCCGCCCCTTCCCCCGTTTTCCAGCACCTTCATTTTGACTACAACACCGTTACCGCCACCATCCGATGTATTTTAGAGGACAAAGAAAAAAGAATGTCACCTCCCTCTCTTTGACTGTTCTTTCTAAACCGAACGATTGTCGGGATCTGCTGTGAATCTTTTCTTCATTCTGTTTGGGGTTCCTTCCTGCAGACGGGCCTGCGGACGCTAGGTTTATGTGAGGTGATCTCAGGTCGACGCACGACCCCGCAACCTGGGATCATTTTGTCAATTTGAAACTGGCAGTGGCGTTGATTTCCTGTGTGTATATGTGTGCGCGCGTGCGTGTGTGCTCAGAGGGAAATACACAGCTCAATGGGAGATGAATATTTACTGTTTATTCTCACACGTCGAACCATTTCACCCACCCTCCCTTTTTTGTCTCTCTGTAGTTGAGCAGCGGCGTCTGCTTTGGCCGCTGAGAAAAGAAAAGAAAAAAACACTAATGCTGTCGACTAACTCACTCGCATAGACTTGCACAAGAGAGAAAAGGGTAGGAGGACCGTAGTGAATATGACAGTGTGCTGAGGCCATGTATTTCCACTCTGACGAATAGTAAAAACGGAAAAATTACAATTTTGAATGGAGTGTTGAAATGCAGTACTTAAAGCAGGTAGCCATGCATTCATTGACTTAAAGGCACCAGGATCATATTCTGTGGGATTTCTATTAGTTTTAAAAAATGATATTAATAAACTTGGATAACTTAATTGTGTCGTTTCTTTGGCGTTTTTCTGATTCATCAGACATGCGAGTTTCTCACTGGCTTTCATAGTACATGCTTATCTGTCATTAAATTTGCATTGGCTTAAAGATCATGTAAAAGCTTAAATCTTTTATATTGGAGAAAAACCAACATAAAAGCACAAATTTACAGACCTGACTTCCCAAACTTCATCTTTGGGTTAAATAAATACACAAATGTACAAAAATCAGTCAGATATAGAAAATGATCACTATTACTACAGGCACATTTACTCTTTACTAATCTCATTATATATTAATCTGATGCGATAGATATAGATAGAATAGATGTGCAGTTTCCAAACTTTCCTAGTGCTTGACCTCCAGACGTTTTTGTGATATGTAATCTCAGAAAGCCTTAGATCGAGAACATGTAGATGATATCAAGTTTATTCTTTCTCGTTATTGTCATTATTTATTGTATTATTAAAAAGGACTTCTATTTTCAAATAATAAATTAATGTAAGATCATTTTAATCAATCATTTTTCTCTAATCAGTGCTGTTCTGGTTTTAATAAGTTGATATAAATAATTAGAAAGTCTGTTATGGACCAGGTGAGTGAGGTGATTCCATTTAGGAAAAGAGAAGAAACTGAGCAAGTCTAGTCAGTTTTTCGAAATGGTCCATAGTTAAAATGAATGTGATTAAAAACTACTAGTGTCTAAAGAAGATAAACGCATTTATCACAACCGATAAAAGAAGACGTTTCTCAGATAACATAAATGTTAAAGGTCAACTATTCAAAATGTTGCAGTACCGATTGTAGCCACAAGGTGGAAATGAAACGCAGTCTTCCAGCAAAGCTGTGGCCCTGAGTGCAGCTGCACAGTGGAGGGTGTGACAGATCCTCCTCAATAAAAACAATGTAGAAGACATAAGTAGGAAATGTTCCTGCCAGCACAGATACATTTTTTTTCTGTTTCAGCTGAGTAAAACTATTTCAAGGTAAAAGTCTCTTGTACCTGTAAAGCTGGGCTGAGAGACAATCTTTAGAAAACAGTCACAATTTAAACATAGATTTTGGTAAAAAATTACTGAACAGTTAAATCTGCAGCTTAGACATTTACTTTTAAAAAAGGCATACACATCACTACATTTACCCTCCAGGTCTTCATTAGGTACACCATTCAACTGCTCATTAATGCAAATATCTAATCACCAAACACACAGCAGCACCCAGTGCATTTAGGCATGTGGACAAGGCCAAGATGAGACCTGCTGACTTTCAAACTGAGCATCAGAATGAAAAATAAAAGTTATTTAAGTGACTTTGAATGTGGCGTGCATGTTGATGACAGACGGTCCAGGTCTGAGTACCAATTTCTAAAATTTACAGAAAATACCTTGTTGACACCAGAGAATGTCTCGATGACCAGACTGCTTTGTGCTGATAGAAAGGCATCATTAAGTGAAAACTAATCAAACTAATCCAAAGTATGAAGAAAAGTATCTATGAATGTAGAAACGTCTGACCTTAAGGAGTGGGTGAAACTCAGCCTTCAAATCGCACAGGTTCACCAAATATTTACAGAACTGAAGATTGGAAAAACATCTGCTGTGAGATTCTGATGGCAGGGTCAGAATTTGATGTAAACAACATGAAAGCCTCTTTGACAATAAAACAAACCAAAGCAGTTAAATATGCAGTATTACATGCTTTATTAAAGGACTGATCTACTGTTGTGTATTGCACAAGGATACTTTCCACCATCTGTTCAAACTATATTTCATGATGCAGAGGTTTTATGACAGAAGTCCCAGCAGTTGTCACTGACCAGAGTATAATGTGGTTATTTTATTTGGGAAAAAAAGGAATGTGTAAGTAATGAAAGCAGTGCAAAAAGATGTGCAGAAACAGTCGAGCACAAGTTAAATAGTTTGCAGCGCCACAGGGAAAAATGGCAACAAATTCACCTAAAAGCAAATCGGTGCACTTGACGAAACAAAAATCCGTTCACCGTGATCTGTGATAGTAACCACACCGAGCGGAACAGGAAATAAAGCAGATCTGTGAGCAACAAAGGCAGATGAAAACCAGCATGTTAAAATCCTTCAGAGAAAATACAAAACAAAAAAATATTTAATTTAAATTCTAACCAGCACCAGGCATCCTCCTACATATGAACACATATACAGAATCAGATCTAAAATGCCTGTTTTTAACATTTAATGTAAACAAATTAATTACCAAAGCGACTTATTGCTATCTTGGCAACTTGTCCTTCATCAACTTGACTTACTGGCTGTGGCATGAACGATGTCTGTGTCCAAGGTAGTACCGGTGCTAATAAAGTGCTAATAGACCGCAGACAGCATGCTCAGGTTACAGTATACATGGCCTCTACTGTTAGTCTAATATACTGGTGTGCTAGAAAAGCAAAGACATAGTGATTAACCACTTTACTACACTGCCCTTTGACTGGTTTGGGTATTGCTTTGGTATTTCTAATCATTAGAAATCACAGTGTGGCGATTTAATGAATATGTGTTCCTGGAAAGTAGTTACAGTTTTGCACCAAAAATAAATATTTCCTGGTAAAACAGCAGTCACTTCATTTTTGACACGGACACATCCACGTTTGCTTCGGCAATCAAACCTTCATCTAAAACAAGCTAAACAAAACAACGTGTTGAGAGTAAAAATCACAGCCTGGTCCCACAGATTTAGCAGATTTCATTCCAGCGCTTCAAAAATGTTTTGAGCTAAAAGTCCTCAGCAAGATATAAATGACAGTAAGGAGAACACAGAAGCTATAAATACAATAAATAGTTTTGTTCAGTACTCAGAGGGACTGTGAAGGGAAAAGAAATCAGACCCTGGGGTCAAACAGTCTTCTTTGTCTTTAGAGCCTCATTTCAAGCTCAATGATCTTTTAGTCTGCTGGTGTAACCGGGAGTTACATTCGTGTACTCTAAGGCAGTAAAGTGGAGGAAGTGTCTCATTGTGCTTCTCTCTCCAACTGTAAGCTTCTAAGCTCCGCCCCTTCCTCTGAGAAGGTCAGCTGGGATGAAGCGTTCTCTCCTCCGTGTGCTGTGAAACCTGCAGCTCCTAGATCTTGGTGACGTAGTTGTTGGGGAAAAGTCCCTGCTTCCCACGAAGGCGTCCTGTCCACCACCCGGACACATCTGGCCGACAAACACGACTAAATTAGCGTCTCATGAAAAATAGATGACAAATAAGCCCCTGAATGCCTTTTTCGCCCTGCGCTTACCCTCTTTGATGATGTCGATGACGTCGTCAGCGTTGAAGCTGAGCTCGTCTGTGTCCTGAGCATCGTAGGCGTACAAAGCTCTGCACTGGGGCACCTGGGGCTTGGGTTTGGGTGCAGGCTTGGGTCGTCCTCCTCCCGGCGGAGGCCTGCTGGCTGACGGTCTGTGGGCCCTGAGGTAACATCGAGAGAAACAAAGAGAGAAACGCGTTTGTGACTTTGTCTATGGTCGATCTCAGAATACGAGGGCATGCATAACCACCATCTCATTATACCATATACCAACCAGGAAACACCGATTTGAGGATTAAGATTTTTCATTTTCCAATCAACACTGTAATCAAACGGAAAGTGTTTTAAAGAGATAGCAGCAGTTCATAAATCAGACACAAGATGGCGATATGGTGCATGCCATCTCTATGCCTGCAACTGAACCTAAAATGTGTTTGTGAAGCCCTCAGGAGCACAGAGTGCTGATCCCAAGTCAGCAGCACCTTTTTTCTGCATACTGGCTGCATTCCATTACTTGCATATTGCTGTACCTGATTCTCTCGTCACCACGGCGCGAGTTAGTGTACGGGATGTATTTGGGAGCAAGTGAAAACCTCAAGGTTGATGTTAGAAGGATTTGAGCAAGTTTGAGAAGGACCAAATTGTGACTTGGTCAGAGCGCCTTCAAAACTGCAGCTCTTATGTGGAACAATGGCCGGCTCCTGTGGTCCGATCTAACAGACGAGCTACTGTAGCTCAAATTGGCCAGAAAGTTCAAGCTGGTTCTGATAGAAAGGAGTCAGAATAACCAGAACAGCCAGGTGCCCGTGCTGACTCCTGTCCACCAACAAAATGCCCAACAATGAACCGAACCATGGAGCAATATAGGAAGGTGGCCTGGTTTGATGAATCATGTTTTCTTTTACAACACGTGGATGGGCAGGTGTGTCCATTTTTACCTGGTAAAGACCAGGCATCAGGATGCACTATGGGAAGAAGGCAAGCTGGTGGAGGCAGCATGATGCTTTGGACAGTGTTCTGCTGGGAGACCGTGGGTCCTACCATCCATGTGGATGTTACTTTGACATGTAACACCTACATAAGTGTTGGTGCAGACCATGTACACTTTTTCATTGAAACTATTCCCTGATGGTTGTGGCCATCAGTGGGCTAGTGGAGTTCATGCCCTGGCAGGTCAGAGCTGTTTTGGTACCAACTCAATATTAGGTATAATTTTGCAGCTGATCGGTGTACACTGTAAATAAAAGAGGGATGCAGTCTCTATGGCGCCACCTGCTGGTCAGGCGGAGCAAATTCACCATCATCATCATCATTCAGGTGTTCTGACGTTCTGACCAAAGAGAGCTCGTACCCTGCTTTATCATAGTTTTTTTTTTTTTATCCTGTAGGGATAATCTATAACATGAGTTATATTGTAGATGTCTTATGTATCAACTTCAACAAAAAAAAAACAAATAATAAGTAAGGCCATAGATCAATGAGCTGTAGTGTTCACTGCAACCGGGCTTCTGTTTAAAACCAGAAAGGTCGCCCCCTGCTGGCCACGAAAAAGAACGCAGGTTTGAGGCACATCTCCAGTGGCTTCACTTTTTAGTGCCGTATGACACATCCGTCTTTTATACACTGAACTTTAAACAGGCAGTGAAGCAGCCTGTTTTATACATATGTAACTTATGCATTGACCCAATAAAATTATTTACTCCTGTGATATTAAAATTGAACCAATATTAAAATAAATCAATA